AAGGCAAAAGTTATTTGTGTTATTATTTTACATAACATATATTGTTTTCAGATTTTGGAGAACGTTTTTTTTGTTTTTATTTTAATATATTTTTATGTTCGTGTTCGAAGAGTTTCGGCGCTCGTTCGGGTTCGGTCACCGAACCCGAACACGATCCTACACAGGTTATTACTGCACATGGTGTTTCTACGGATCCCCGTCACGCAACCCTTTTCGCTTACACACTTGCTTTAGCGAGTCCTCTGCCATGTGCTACCTTCTGTGACCGTTACACCCAGCCTGCATAGTACCAGATGGAAGATACCAGACTAGGCCCAATTAGTACCACATCCACACAACCTGCATATACTAGTACTACACGTTAACCTATAGTAAGTTGGGTATAAATTATTATTATTATTATTATTATTATTATTATTATTATTATTATTATTATTATTATTGTTGTTGTTGTTGTTGTTGTTGTTGTTGTTGTTGTTGTTGATGTTGTTGTTGTTTTGGGTTTGCTCAGTTTGTCTTCTCCCTGGCGTGCTTCCCTTATTGGATTTCCAACTCCGCAATGAAACAGACTCTTATTTCGTACATCGATTCGCGATCACGCCCGTCAGTCAAAAATGGGCAAATACAGGTGAAACTGTTAATCAAGAGGTAACGAGTTCCAATCCCAACACGAATCAGATGAATACAACAATTTGAAGGTGACGCACTCACCCCTCCAGATTGAAGTAATGATGATGATTAAAAAAAAAGTGCTACTACTCGTATTAGAATGGCAAGCAAAACCAAGGGGATTAGCTCAGTTGGTACACCCATAAACTGATGAAATGCAGCCGTGAGTTCGGATTCAGATGGAACCAGGTGAACTTCAAATGCCTGAATTCCCTAGGGCCAGTCAGCTCACGATGATATCTCAAGGCTGTCGCCCATTTAAAAAAACAGAAAAAAAACGAAGGAAAAAAAGAGAAAAAAGAATGGCAAGGAACTGAATGCGGTGTCATACAGCTGCTGGGTCTCGAAAGATTGAGATTTGTGAGATGACATGCCCGATTGGTCAGAGTTCGGCCCTCGGGAGCACTCCCGAAACTGGCCTTCTCCTCCCATCTGCAAGACTTCAATTTCGAGAGACCTCTCTCTCGTGGAGAGGCCCAGTTTCGGCCGAAAATTTTGTGATCAGGTCTGGGCAGACAACCATCTCCTGCCAGCCTTTTTGGCTTTTCCCCATCGTTTTCGACCTAAGCTTGCGCTGTATCCCGTGCTTCTGCCATTCGAGAGTGCTCAGTTCAAGAACGCAGTGTGGCGAGGAGGGCTCTCGAACGGTTTTCATGCTCTCGAAGTTCGGAGAGCACTCCCGGGGCCAAGTCCCACTTACCCGAATGATCTATTTCTGACCGCAGATTTGGAAGATCAACGACCAGAAAAGAAGGATCAGCGTAAGTGGGACTTGGCCCCAGGATTTTTTGGGGGCACTCAGCAATGGTGTGTCGAGGCCAGTGAGACCAAAACGAGCAATTCTTGCTGAGCAACTGGGAGAACAGGGCGCCTTTGGCTGAGGGCCTCGCCACACCACTCCCCAGTTTCAAGTTCTAGAAAAATATGCGGGGTGCTCCCGAAAGTGAAATCCCGCTCCAGAGTGCCGTTTGCCACACTGCAGTCTCCAATCTGCCCCTCTCCAAGTCTGCAAATGACAGTTGCCAAATGCGAAGCAGTCTGACCGAAGTCTGTTTGTCCCTTTGAGTTTGATCTCCTCTCCCGAGTCTGCGATGAAACTCGGAGGTAGGAAGGAGCTCTCCCGAAAACGTGCAGCTTTGCAGGCTGTGCTTTCGTTTTTTTTTTTTTTTGAAGGCTGTGCTTTTGGGAGTGCTCTAGGGAGCCTGCCTCATTCTGACAGCTCCCGAATTTAATCTGACACATAGAATCTGGGTGCTGATGTGGTGGTGACCCTGCACTGAGTCTCCCGAGAGCAGCCACTTTCGGGAGTAGTGTGGCGAGGCCCCCTTATCTTAACTGCAATGCACATGTGCCTCTTACGAGGTACGGATCCACAAATTTATCAGAAATTCAAGGCGGCCACAAATTCAGAGAATTTGAGGCTGTGGAACTTTTCTTGTCCTAAAATTATGTGATGCAAGCGTACCTTGGGGGAGGTGCAAATCCACAGATTCATGATAGCATTTCCCGAGGATTTGTGATTTTGAGCTACTGGTGCGAGAGTCCTGAAGATTTGTGATTTCCTGGTACTGGTGTGAGGGCATGTTCACACTGCGGTACCAAATCCTTATAATCCCCCAAATCCCGAAAGGATTAGTGTCCAGGGATAGTCCCACCAGGATCTCATTTCCCCAAACTAATCCGTGACCGCATTTGTCAGCGGCCTGAGGGCCCACGGGGGTCGGGAATTTGCGGTAAGCTGGGGAGGTTAGTACGGCAAATTCTCTTTCTTGTTTGGAATCGACCTCAGGCTGCCGAAATGGAAAGAAATTCGAAGACGAAGATATTGCCAGGAAATCCGATCTCGCAGTGTGACTGGAGCAGTTGAAGAGGACCCAAAATCCAGGAGGCCGCAACCTTGTCTGTTGCGAAATGGGGAACTTGAAGCACTGTGACCGGTCCAGCCACTAGATTCCCAAATCGGGCAAATAGGTGCATTAAGCTTAAGCGGGGAAAATGGCCCCAGTATCTGCATTGCTTCTCAAAAATGGCTGCGACTGGAGCTGGTATTTTTCAAAGGAAAAAAAGAAGAAGCGTGAGTATGCCCCAATGCAGCCCTAGCGAAGCAGACAGTAAAGTGTCCAAAAGGTGACACTAGAGCCTTTAAAGCACCAGTGCTTTTCCTAGGCACACAGTTCGGCGCCGCTGGCCTTTGGGGATTCGCCTACTGAAATGACTGGTGGTGCCAAAAAACACGACAGTTCGCTTTTTGTGGCGTGCAGCACGAATGAGCATCTGTGAGAAAGGTTTCCTGCAAGTACTGCTGACATTTCCTAGCCACCGACACTGAGCTGAAGTAGTGACAAAGCGAAGAGCTGCTGTCAGAAGTGAAAGAGCTACTCCAGGTCTATTTCGCTTTAGATCCTTTGTTTCTAGCCACAGGTTGTTGGTAATCTATGGGCCTTGCTTCACTACTCTTTACATGCACAAACGACAAAAAATATGGTGGTGTATCTTCCCATGTTCTACCTGGCCCCAGATTGTTGGTGATCTATGGGCCTTGCTCCACTACTCTCTACAATGTCATGTACAAAGGACAAAAAATATAATGGTGTGCATCTTCCCATTTTCTACCTGAAGTTTCATTCTCATTTTGCTCATTTGGTGAGTTACTGTGGTGTAGCGGAAGATTCATTCTCGATTCGCACATTTGGTGAGTTATTGTAGTGGAGAGAGACCCTATGCTATGGGTGAAAGTGAGCAATGCAGGTAAGTTGGGCCTTGCTCCTGCAGTCATTCCTTGCTGCAGTGGATGTAGCTCCTCGGAAAGACTGCACATGCATGTGGAGGGCAGAATCCGACTTATTTCTATACTCGTGAATGTGACGGAAAACCTATTTAAAAAAAATAATAAAAAAACATGCACAGGAACAGGTAGGAATGATGATGTGCGACGCTCGACACCAACCTCACACCGTGCACAGCTTTCCCGGACGAGTGACAAGTGCAGAAAAGGGCCTGGAAAGCGGCAAAATGGGGTATGCAAAGGATTTTTGGAAAATTGAGTGCGGAGACACGGACAGACCTGAAATCTCCTGGGTTGTCCCAGTCTCCCAGATATGGAGCGACGAACGAAGTGGGAAAAGCAGGAAAGGGTCCCTCTCCAATGACCTACGTGACACCCGCGGCCGCGGCCGCGGGCAATTTGGCCACCACAGCCAGGAAGCCCAGTTCGCGGCCTGTTTTTTTGGGGTATTTGTTTTAGGGTAAAAAAATAGGTAAATATATATTTATATATATGGGGTTCTAGGGTTTGCAAAACCCTACAACCCCATTTTTTTTTGAATTTGACTTCATTTACGAGTTTTGAAAAATGAAAAACTAAAATCGGTTAAAAAGAAAAAATTAAAATAAATAAACAAAAAGTAGTATTTTTTTTTTCCCCATCTTTTTCATGAATGATATGGAGTTAGTCCTCCTCAAAATCTTTCACAGGGAGAACCTTCTTCTTCCTTGCTGTTTTCTTTTCTTTCGTTCTTCTTCTTCTTCCTTGCTGTTTTTTTTTTTTCCCTTCACCTTCATCTTCTTCTTCTTCTTCTTCTTCTTCTTCTTCTTCTTCTTTTTTCCCTACTTCTTCTTCTTCGGGCAATTCCTCCATGGTGGTCAGACACAGACACACACACACACCATGACACACACACACACACACACACACACACACACACACACACACACACACACACACACACACACACACACAGAGTTGGCAGACTGCAGCTAAACAGTCTGTGCGGCCATAGCAACATCACACATACGAGATTGAATCAACATAGCGATTACCAAAACGCATGTGCATATGCATGAAAAACTATGAAGAGAGCAACAAGCGGTATCCTTCTACCGGTTTCACCCGCCCACGCAGGATCATCAGGAAGGTGACTCAGAAGAGCCTTCGTGCTCGAAAAGGGAGGCTCAAGCCATGCACCCCGTACTATATAGTATCCAGCACTCACTCCCCCACATCCATCTCGAATACCGAGAGTTGTACCCTGTCGTCCAAGAATCAGAAATAGTAAACACATGTCTTGCCGGTCAAGACTCAAGTTGACGTTTGGGCGAAACCTGCCTACTGCTCGTTCCGCGATGTACTTGCTCCCCAAAAGTACCCCATGTCCATCCCCGCCTTCCCCGAAGTCGTATTTCCACAAGTCTCCCAAAATCCCACTATCGCCCCGTGGGCCCTACTGGCCGGTGGAGTGCTTCTCCATCCTGCACCTACTTTGTGTCTTTTCTCCCAAAATTTCGGTGCGTCCGGCCTTTTCACAATTCGAAATGCAGAATTCAAACTGCACACTTCAAAATGGAAAATACAAAATGGGCCGGCTACACGGTCTTCTCGTACGGAATCCGTGAGGTTTTCCTGGCCAAATCCAGTGCCTTGCTCCGCTTTCGTCTCCTGGCGCAGTCCGCTGAGTAGGAAAAGGCCTTTCGTAGGGTCTGTAGTGCTCGATTGGGCACAGCCTTGACCAAATTGGTCAGGGCACTGGGAGAGACCTCCGGGGGGTAACCCCGGAGGTCCGCTTCGCAAACAGCAAAGCCAATAGCACCCAGTACTAGCTCCTTGCTCGTCGCCTGGTCCCACAGTCTTCTAATCGTGGTTGTCAATACCGCCTTCTTCACGCATTTCGCTGAATATGAGTTGTAGTCCTGCATCGTCTGGAAGCGAAGTTCTCCGTCTGCATTCAKGCTTTCCGAATTTCTTGTACTTGGTATGTAGTGAAGCTGAAGTGGCGATCTACAGATCATCATTTCACCTCCAACGAACTGCCACGTCGTCCCACAGTCGTCCTTTCGCACTATCTCCAGATTCTTGTCGTAGATCCCTTCGAAGGATTCGAAGAGATCTTCGCGGTGTCCAGCATTGYCGCCTTGTCCCATTACTCCGACGATCACGGTGATGTCATCCATCACTCTCCAGCCGCCCACAAGTCTTCTGTCGCTTCCAAGCTCATTGATAAAGCGCAGTTCCACCATAGCACAGGTAATCGAGGCTAGGATCGGGCTTGTCGACTTCCCCATCGGAATTCCAAAAATTTGCCTGACTATTTTATCTCCGCATTTAACGACCGAGTGTCTCAGGTCGTATCTTACGCCTTCCAGAATCAGCTTCAGTGGCAAGCTAACATAACCGTCCGTCTTTCTCTTGTTATCACTAATAATACAGTTTYTCCCCCTCCGAGACACTYTGACCTGCTTACTTCCCTTGTTCTCATAGATCCTGAGAAGCTGGTGTACCGCCTGAATCACTGCTTCRTGCGGGATCCGCGAGAACATGTCTTTGATATCATAACACCTCCCGATAGCTTGGTCGCACCCCGCKGCTCTAAAAYGTACTGCAGTTCCTRCGAGTCTCTTTGTTAGTTCCGAGATGGAGTTCAAGTAGAATGTGCTGTTCGCCGGTAACCGTTTCAGCATCTGATGTAGAGCGCGTGCCAATCTCCATTGTGTCAAAGCAGCTGGATCAGCCGGTGCGGGCGCTATTGGTCTCCATCGTGTCAGATCCTTATGCTTCGGGATCACGTATGCCGTCCCCAGGCGTCCGTCAGGCCTCCAGCTCCCGATTGCAGGTAATCCACTCTTCTTAAAATCTTCTCTGCTCTCCCTCAGGACCTCCTCCTCGGCGGTCGCCATCGTTTCATAGTTTGTGTTCCAGGTGAAAGTCTTCCCAAACCATGACGATAGAGTATCGGGCACATCACCGCTGTGTCTCCTTGATTACGATCTATCGGAGAGAGTACCAGGCCGTCAAGCCGCCTCTTCCAACTAAGAACCTCATCATCCTTCCACGTCGTACTCGAGCCTTGCTCTGTAATCCATATCTCACTTGGGTCTACGGTCTACCATCGGTGTTTCAGTCACCTTCAAATGTCTGGTTGCTGCTAGCACCGCTTTGGCCATCGTAACTGTGTTACTGGCTTTGGCAGGTCTAGTTACATTCCTGGAATTCCTCATGAAAACAGGAACCTCCATCTCCGAGAATCGCGTCATCACGTGCGCGTCCACCTTTTGCAAATCGAGCTTCGCGCACGGGCAGCTATGTTCCTTCATGCACGCAAAACCCTTCTGGTTGTGAATTAATTGCGCTACGCTCCAGTTCTTCAGCCAGAGTATCCGAATCCTGGTCTTAACGAAATCCGAGAGGGGTTTGTCTTCGATCTCCCCCTCGATCACCTCCTCTGCTAACCTCCGCACGCCACCCTCCCGGATTCGTAGGGCAGCTTGATATTCACCCTCTTCCTCACACTCACTCCCGTCCTCCGAGCTATGACCCTGTCTAACTTCGTGCGCAGCCGGTGTTTCGTTCCTTTGTCCCCAAACAGGCCAGCAGTCTTGTAGAGCCCTATGAGTTTCTTCGTCGGCAGTCGCTGTAGTCTCGAATCCGGTACTGGCCTCTTTAGTAACGATATAAGCAGGCTTTTGTTCCGCTCCGTCGTCGTCTTGGCCTTGATGATTTTCTTAATGAGTATCTCGCCACCTTCTTGCAGCTTGGTTTTAAGACACCTGAGTCGGGATACTCGTCCCCCCATCTCAATTTCGGATTCCCCGAAAGTCCGCTTAATCCTCCTCCAACCATCGACCCAAACACCACCTCTTTCCATCGACACGGTTAGCCCCTCTTCGCCAATGTGTTCCATCAACCAGTTATAGATCGATGCTACGACTACCCCTTTATGTTTTAAGACTCACCTCCTCGACTCGTAACCGCCTGCTGCGTCCGATCCTTTCCCGCCTGCCCCTCCTATTCCTACCTTTAGCGAGTTTCTCATTCTTCCCTCGCTCTCGGGAGTTCAGGCACGGATTAAAACCCGATATCAGGTGCTTTTCAAAAGCGTAGTCGTCTACACTATTCGGGTGTCGTAGTGGAATCACAGTGTACTTATCTAGCCCGAATCTTCGGAGCCACCTGTAGAGTTGTGGTGCCTGTCCCAGTGCGTTACTACGTGTGTTTCTACAGTGTTCTCTCCACCGTTGTATAATCGGTCTGACCGTACATCCTACATACACCTTCTTGGTCCATGGGCTCACCAATGTGTACACGCCCCCGATCTCTAAGTTCAGTAGACTCGGTATCTCATGTGCCTTCGTAAGGTACTTCGTGAGCCAGGGTATCTGCCCCTGTGCCGCGAGAAGTAATGTCGTACTTGAGATCGCCGATTCCACCTTCCGGACCGTCTCGCCCGTCATCCCTTGCCCCCATAGCCACGCTCTTTCTGCAATCCACGTATTAAGCAGACTCCAGAGTTCCGCGTTGGTAGGGGGTGCCAACCGTCAATCTGAGTCGTCAACTGGCTGAGTCGTCGTCGACCGGATGATGATAGGCACAGGTCTCGCGGTCGTCTTCTCCGCTGAGGTCTTGTCCTTTACGAAATCCTTGCGTGGCGATCCAGATGCTTTCGTCTTATTCTTCGCTGTAGTAGCCCCCTGTTCTTCTTCGAAGCCATCGTATGCCAGTTGAACTTGATGTCTCGCGAGTATCTGTACTGCTTCCAGTTTCTTCGTGTATTTGAGGCCTTTCTGCTCACAGAGTTTACGCAATACGTCCGCGTTCTTCGTTGAATGGATTTTATGAGCTGAAATACAGTACTCTATGAGTCCTTTCTGTGAGCAGCCTGCCGACAACCCCTTAAACCCTCCGGTCAGGGGAGTCCTTGGTTCGCCAGGTGTCTCGTTTCCCGCCTCTTCTTTCTCTGGGTTCTCCTCCTGCCCCATCTGTCGCTGCCTGGAGCACTCACCTCGCTCAAATATTCTTGTCGGTGTGCAGTTCGCCGTCTTCCCTCCTTTGTCTTTAGTCGACTTCGACTTGCCCTTTGAATGTCCGGTCGTGCGTCTCCCACTTGACTTCCTCCTTATCTGCGGTCCTTCCGATTCCGAGCCGGTAGTCGTTGAATCCGACTTGTCTTCGTCGGAAGTGTCGTCCGATTGCATCTCCTTGCTCGGAATCTCCTCCTTTCTCTTCTTCTTTGAGTACCGCCTCCCCTTACGTTTGGTCCCGCCGCCGCTCTTACGCGTGTACTGCTTCGCCGATCTTCTAGTTTTTCCCACCGCCTCCTTCGCTTCGGTGTCGGTCCTCCTCCATTCCTCCAGTTGTTCTGCGCGAAGTTGCATTTTAAACTCCTCTTCTTTCCTCGCAAAATCCTGGTTCCTCCGCAACTCATCTTCCTCCCTGGCCTTCCGTTCTTCTTCCAACTTGCGTTTCTCCTCTAGCTCCTGTCTCTCTCTCCTCAGTTGTCTAAAATGTTCCTTCATCTCCTCCAGTTCAGGGTCACCCTGCTGTGCTCCGTATCCTCTCCCTCTCCTCGACCAACAGTCGCGGGCGGAATGCCCGGTTTTCCCACAGTTATAGCAGACGCTATTTCCTCCCCCGCCTCCGCCACCGCCTGCTCCGCCCCCGGATCCATTCCCGTTACCATAGTTGCCATAGGATTGCCCATTGGCGCATTATTATATCCGCCTCCGCCCCCACCACCTGGGCCATTAGTCAGCAACATCCCGTCCTTGTTCGCGTCTTCCCGTAACGCCTCCGATCCGCTACTTTGTAAGCTCCCCTTCAAACGGTTGTCTATCCGCCCCACGTCACCGTCGTAACTGCGAACTCGAAGGCCACGTGGTGTTCTTCCCCTCTATCCTCTCATCCGACTAATCTAATTATGTCGCCTTCAGTCGAAACCGATCTACTCCTTCCAAATATCTACGATTTCCCGGTAGCTTACCTGCCGTCTATTGCGCAAAGCCAAGATGGTAGTTTCAATCCTAATCAGTAGGTTCATCAGTTTTCCGTACAGCGCGTTGCGAAGGGCTTCGTTATTGACAAAGCCGATCAAGTAGTGCATCGGTTCCACGGTCTCACTTACATACTCCTCTTGAGCCCAGATTAATCTCGTGCGCATTGTATCTCTCCTCCTATGCCGACCGCAGTCCTCACCGCATCTTGCGCAAGGTGTTGCCATCTTCGTTAGAGAGCCGATCCCACCACTATGAGACTGACACCTATCAGCATCACGCCAAGTCCATACAACAGATTCCGTATCACGATTCCACCCCTCCTCATCCTTTCCTCCCAATGACCCGAACTCGCTCACCGGTGTCAAAGATGGTGTGAACTCCGTCCTTCAGCCCGCAAGCCCCCGCCTCCACCGGATCAACCATGCGCTTCTCCTAGCTGGTTATCTTGCTCGTCACCCTTCTCCCCGATACACCTCCAACTCATGTATCCTTCCACTTACCGCAAGGTCGAGGCAGCCACCGAGCAGCGCATGCAGCTGACGGTTACTACGCTCCCACGAGTTGGCAGACTGCAGCTAAACAGTCTGTGCAGCCATAGCAACATCACACATACGAGATTGAATCAACATAGCGATTACCAAAACGCATGTGCATATGCATGAAAAACTGCGAAGAGAGCAACAAGCAGTATCCTTCTACCGGTTTCACCCGCCCACGCGGGATCATCAGGAAGGTGAGTCAGAAGAGCCTTCGTGCTCGAAAAGGGAGGCTCAAGCCATGCCCCCCGAACTATATAGTATCCAGCACTCACTCCCCCACATCCATCTCGAATACCGAGAGTAGTACCCTGTTGTCCAAGAATCAGAAATAGTAAACACATGTCTTGCCGGTCAAGACTCAAGTTGACGTTGGGGCGAAACCTGCCTACTGCTCGTTCCGCGATGTACTTCCTCCCCAAAGTACCCCATGTCCATCCCCGCCTTCCCCGAAGTCGTATTTCCGCAAGTCTCCCAAAATCCCGCTATCGCCCCGTGGGCCCTACTGGCCGGTGGAGTGCTTCTCCGTCCTGCACCTACGTTGTGTCTTTTCTCCCAAAATTTCGGTGCGTCCGGCCTTTTCACAATTCGAAATGCAGAACTCAAACTGCACACTTCAAAATGGAAAATACAAAATGGGCCGGCTACACGGTCCTCTCGTACGGAATCCGTGAGTCGAACTACATACGTAAGCCGAGTTCAGAATCAAAATAAATGAACAATAAAATAAAATAAAATAAAATAAAATAAAATAAAATAAAATAAAATAAAATAAAATAAAACCCGTATGATCCATCCGTTTGGTCATCATGTGGTTTTCCTGGCCAAATCCAGTGCCTTGCTCCGCTTTCGTCTCCTGGCGCAGTCCACTGAGTACGAAAAGGCCTTTCGTAGGGTCTGTAGTGCTCGATTGGGCACAGCCTTGACCAAATTGGTCAGGGCACAGAGAGAGAGAGAGAGAGAGAGAGAGAGAGAGAGAGAGAGAGAGAGAGAGAGAGAGAGAGAGAGAGAGAGAGAGAGAGAGAGAGAG